CAATTTTTAATAAACGAGAACGAATATACCAGTGAAATCATTTTGGCCGAGGTATTATCGCGGGACGAAAGCCTGGCTCTCGACGTCTATTCTTTAATTATACGGTTATCAGGCCATCGAGCTAAGATCCGGAGGAAATCAAGAAGAACAGGGTGCGCAGAGGTACGAATTCCCATCTCTCTTTCGTCGTGGCGCACGATGACGTTTCTCAGCTTCCTCTCTTCGGCACTTTAACCACCTACGTGCCGGCACTCTGTGCCGCTGACACCCGCTAATTATAATTTGTGTCGTGAGTTTCGCGCAGCGTGAGCTTTCCTCGTGCAAGCAGACGGGAAAAGGGGCTAAGATGTGCCTTGGCCTGCCTCTCGACTCCATTTCACCGAACAACATCACAGCGAACGCGAGCAGTTTTACTCTTTATCGCCGGGGTGTTCACGGCTTTGCTCGCCCCCGGCGAATCAAACCAACCCCCCATGCAAGCGACTTTTCTTTCCCTCTCCTGCTCCCTCTACGTTTGTCGCTACGGTGGTGAAAGTTCTGATTCCAGAGAGAATAATTGATAAATTCTTCTTGATGCTTGGTGGTTAAAATCACCCTTGCGCGCAGGATGATTCGTGCAAATATGACGAACAGTATCTTCTTGTTGGTTGAAAAAAATGGAGATGGTTCAAGGTGTACGTTGATGTACATATCATTGCGTACATTAAATCTTCTCGTTGTTTCTACGTAAATAATTACGATACGGTTGAAAAATTAATAAATGCGAAAGATGTTTCAAATTAATTAATTAAATGAAAGACGAGGGATTCCTTAATTTTCTTTCCTTAATATTTTTTCTAACTTCAACTTAAAAAAAGAAAAAGATGTGGCTACAGTTGCTTGGATAACTGTATATTTTTTCTCGAGCCTACGTATTTTCAAAAGATTGATAAAAGCAACTAAATTACTTAGATATTGTAAATATACAATGTATTATATTTATGATCCACAATTATCATTGATTCGTCGATTATCATACGTGAAAATATATTATTGTGTTAAGTATTGTTTATTGTTTACTTATCGTTATGCACGAAATGCGTCATTTTTAGCCTGAATTTTTGCCACAGTGCGCCGAGTCCTTTTTTGCTTCTCCTGTTGGCACCAGGAAACGGCGAGTAGCAACCGGCTCTAATCGCCGTAACGACAGCGGTTTACGCTAGGGAAAAAAGGCAAGAAATCCAGGCCAGGTTCGAGCTTGGTCGGAACCGCTTATTCCTTTTTTTCTTTTTCTTTTTTTTTCTTTCTTTCGTTTCCTCCGTAACCCTTACCTCTCTCTTCGTTTCCGAGCTTTCTCGGCGCTTCTTCCTCTTTCGTTCCCGTTTCTCGCGGCAATTGATTTTGTTGCAAGATGTTACTCGGCGGGCGAACGTGATTGGAAAGCCAAACGGCGATATAGGCCAGAAGAAAGCTGTTGGAAGGACGTTAAGTAAAGACGTTGGATCAGCGTGCTACGGAATGGGATTTTCACAATAGATTGGAACGCGCCCGGCGAAAATTAATCCTTCGCGGCGGTGTTTACTCTCTCGCGGGTGGCATTCATTTTTATTCGAGAACTGCGTGAACTTTCTCTTGGTTTTCCTTGGTTTTTCATTTCCTGTATGAATCGGACCGTTTGCCCGTGCGAGGAAATAAATTCAATGAAGTGCAGAATTCTATTATTTCTTTCAATTTTATATATAAAAATAGTTTAGCTTTATATTATTATTCCGTCTTTCAAAAAATTCTCCAATGAAAAATAAATTGCAGGCAAATCGCTCGAAAGCTGTAATGTTCATCAACTAGGATTTTGTAGATCTCCGTGAGATTGTGATACATTAACGAAAATTCGTGAAAGACATATTTACATATTTTTATAATCTAATGAAACATTCTACACATCTGTGATGAAAGAAACAATCTTGCGCAAAGGTGTCCAACCCAAATCACAAAAATACCAACAGTATTCCAGGAAACCCAGAGAGAGAGAGAGAGAGAGAAAGAGCGTGGTCCACAAATTGCAAGCTACGTTGCAAGTTATTTGGCTTTGCAAAATTAATTTCGTTTTCAAACCTTTCGTCGCTCAGCTCGATCGACGATCCGCCACATTATACAAACGCTTTGTGCAACGAGAAAATTTCTCGCGGCGCACGCGTTTTTCTCTGTTACTTTTTTCTTTTCTTTTCTTTTTTTTTTTTCTATCGCCCCTTTTTCAGAATCCGGCTCACGCCACCGTGTGTTTGCAAGTTACACGCGTGCAAAGTCACGTAGATAAAAAGCTCGTGTCAGAGTGAGAGAGATTGAAGCTAGAAAGTGGTAGCACGATCAGTGGTCGTGCAACGAAAGGGTGGAAAAGCGGCGACAGACGCCGCGGCAAAATGCGGAAAATCTGCTTTGCAAATTTTCTCATACCCGAGCGTGGCTCGGCCGCCGGCGTTCGAGAGCCCGGCGGGTTTCAATGCCTCGATGAATTTACGGTTGGGGGGGAGGGATATCGATTTTTATTCTCTCCTTTCCGTCCAACGACCCATAACTTTTTCTCTGCCGATATCGCGATGCTCGTTAATTATTTTGTCTACCCGAATCCGTTCTCCATACCTCCGTGAAACCCTCGGTGCATCCGCAATTCTAGGAAAACCCTTTGAAACGTCCGCGTACACGCCACTCGAGAGTTTGGACACTCGGCTCGTCCGCCTTTGCTGTCCGCGTTATTTGCGAGAGTGAATGACGATATTGATTTATCCATGCTCATTTATGAATTGACGATGCGTGCGATCAATGTTTGTCCATTAATATTGCAAAATTTAATATTGCAAGTTTTGTGTATGAATTACAACGGTATTATTCAGTACAATGGCGTTGCTAAAATGTTCTTGAGAAATACAAATCTTCCTGCAAGAAATTAAATAATCGAACAGTGAAATTATTGGATGTTAAGATTAGAAATGTAGCGTGGCAATGAAATTCGATTATAAATCAAGTAATAATTGTACTAACATCTTGCAAAGATAAAGTACAGCTGTAAACTAAACAATCACGTGGTGATGGTATAAAGAAATGGCAAGGAATAACATTAACAGAGGAAATTATGAAGAATAATAAAATAGTAAAGTTAAGCTAAATAAAATAGGAAAAATTTAACTAAATAATAGTAAAAATTACTAAAATACTAAAATACTAAATAATAAAACTTATTAAATAATAGTAAAAATTACTAAAATACTAAATAATAGTAAAAGTTATTAAAATACTAAATAATAATAAAAGTTATTAAAATACTAAATAATAGTAAAAGTTATTAAAATACTAAATAATAGTAAAAATTACTAAAATACTAAATAATAGTAAAAATTACTAAAATACTAAATAATACTAAAAATTAAAATAGTAAAAATTACTAAAATACCAAATAATACTAAAAATTAAAATAGTAAAAATTACTAAAATACTAAGTAATACTAAAAATTACTAAAATACTAAATAATAGTAAAAATTACTAAAATATACAATAGTAAAAATTAAAATAGTAAAAATAACTAAAATACTAAATAATAGTAAAAATTACTAAAATACTAAATAATAGTAAAAGATAAAATAATAAAATTAACCAGATGAAATATTAAAGTCAGCAAAGAGACGTCTGTACTTCAAATAAAACACGTCTGTGATCCTTTGTTTGTAATCCTCGTCTCTATTCGAAAAACAAAAAAAAAAAAAAACAAAAAAAGGAAACAAATTCCCGAGCCTGCTGCGTACACGTGAAATCGCCAACGAGACCAAGGACACTTTGTTTACCCGACGTGTGGCGTCTCTATTATACGATACACGCAGTTAGCGAAGGGAAAGTGTACGCGACACACGCGTTTCAGTGGCCCAGGTGGAACTCGCTACTAGTGGAAGATTACGTGGCGTTAAATCGAATCAACGGATTATATCGTTATATACGCCGATATATACACGGTACGGTATGCTCGTTCCTCTGTTATCTACTTGTGACGTCGTGTGTCATCGGTTAGAAAGGAGCCAAGGAGAACCGCATTTCTCACCGACCTAGTAGCTGCATTCTCTGGCTTTCGAAGGACGTGGCGTGGTCGAAGAAAGCCCCACGTGAGTGAATCTTTCATCTCGCAGCGAGAGAGAGAGGTATATAATTTTATCTCGAGGCGATTCTCGAGGTCTTAGAATTTTAACGTGACACAGCGTGAAACAACGCGTGGATCGCCCGTAACGGCGATTTGAACGAACACGTGCTCTCGCGTTTTACTTCTCGATGCAAGTAATTATGATCCTTTTATTTGAGTAAATGAACCGTGCGCTGTGAATTTGGATTTCGATTCACGTCACGATCGTTTTTAGATATTTAGATATTTTTATGAACACCAGCAAGAAGATGGAGTTTATTTACATGAAGTACTGCTACTTCGACGTTTAAATTTATAATCTACTCGATCTATACGAGTCTTGTTTCGTTAATTAGTCATAATATGTAATTTAATAATCACATAATTACGATTAAACAATTCACTCGTGCAAACACAACGACCTAAATTTGAAATTTACGATTGAATGCAATGTTTAACTGTTCCAAAATCTAAAATATTCACGTACGTACGTGTAATGTATGTATTTTGTAAATTCCATTTCTTAGGCGTGTTCGCAAGAAGTACAAATTTCCACAGAAACCCGCAGTCTACTTATCATATTTAATTCGGAGGGGAACTTTGGCGAGTGTCGTTGCATTCGGGGTTTCGCGAAGTTTGCCAAAAACGCCAACCCCCATCCCGAGTCGTTACAGAATTTGATACAAGTACCGCAATCGCGAAGCAAGGCCTGCGTGCTAAGTCTGTTGAAACTTTCTCCATTGCAGCGTCTCGCAGTCTCCGTGGCTGATTTGCCAAAAATTTGCCACGCCGTGAGAGAAGAAATAAAAAAGAGGGAAGAGCTTTCCTTGAACTAACGAGCACGATTTGTTTCTGTTGCAGAAGGTGGATCCCGAGCTGATATTCACGAAACAAGAACGAATCGGAAAGGGTAGTTTCGGAGAGGTGTTCAAAGGCATCGATAATAGGACCCAGCAGGTTGTTGCCATCAAGATCATCGATCTCGAGGAGGCGGAGGATGAGATCGAGGACATACAGCAGGAGATCATGGTGCTGTCGCAGTGTGACAGCCCGTATGTCACCAAGTATTATGGGTCCTATCTCAAAGTGAGTGAGTTTCGTATTTTCTCAGGGACTCGATCGATACTTTTTTAATGGATATTCAACAATGGAAGTAACACGCGTTAGGAAAATTATTAAATTTGAAAGTTAGATAATTATTGAATTCGTTGAAAGTCATTCCCCCAGAGGAATCTAAATTAAAATTTGAATTTTCTATTTCTTCGACGTGTTTCATTTTGATTGATTTTATAGTGATCTACAGTGTATAAGTAGTCAGTTTTCCGGACCGATGACGAAATAGAATTAAAAATTCATCCACTGTAGAATACAAACATTCTACATAGAATGAAGATTCTACGTTGAAAGATATTCTACTATAGAATTCATAGAATTGAAAAGTACTCCGACATTTGTTGATATATTACAGTCAGTGTAAACATAACTGTCACCATTTAACAATGTCGACATTTTAATTTCTACACACCCGTTAACTGCAAATTGCAATATTTTGATTTCACCACGAGTAAACCTGTAGTCAGTCAATGTATGCCTGTCAGTCTCTTGTTATTGAAAAAAAAAAAAGAAGAAGGACCAACGAGTCACGACTGTTTCACACGGATCACTTTGGTTAATCGGTCGACGCGTGTTCACCAGAGAAGAAACTACCTGGCGATCGGGCTCGCGTGTACGCCACGCGTAAAAAGAGCAACTGTAACCAGTGAGTTGCGTGTTACCATGGACGAAAAATCCACCGTGGACCACGCCTTTCTGCCGCCGTTCCGATCCGATGAATTTCCACAATATTTTCGGAGGTGTAGCGAGAACGAACGCCCCCCTTTTCTCTTCCGTTATTACCAGCCACTCTGACCAATACTGGTCCCCGTCATTTTTCATACGCGAAGAATGGGAAGGGCTTGACGCTCGGTTAACCATCGCTTCCGGCTGGACAGTGTCGCATAGACGCTTCCGCTTCCTGCGACCGTGCTCGCTCGAAAGTATCGCGAAACAAAATTGCGTCCAGTGACACGTTTCTAACGTGTAACACCGTGTACAAAGTACGTTTCGTTTCACGTCACTGTGGATTTTCAGTTCTTTCACGTCTCTCGAGAAAATTGCAGATTGAAAAAAAAAAAAAAGAAAAAAGAGAAAAAAGAAAACGGGAGAAATGGATAGATCTGATATTTTTCCTTATTAACTTCGTCTTTCTTAGCTTCGCGCCCTCTCTCTCTTTTCATTAATTTCACAGTTTCGCAGCTGAGCGAATCAGCAAACTGCGAACTTTATAGCCTTTTAGTATATTTTACATCGTATTTTATATTTTATGTTACGTCGTATTGCGGGCGTGCTTTGTAATTCTGAACTTCTCGCAAGTGAATACGAAGCGGTCTGGGAAGAAATTAACTCTACTTCCGAGTCACTGAATTTCGTCTGACATTGTCTACGCTCGAGAGGTCTGATTCTAAATTTAAAAATTATTCTATAATAATTATCCAACGGAATTGTATTATTCAAGAGTGCAGAAATTACGGTCAGTACAGTGCAAATAAACCATATTTCGTTAAAGGGAACAAACTCTCGAGGTAAAAATTTACAAAAAAAAGAAAAAAAAAATAGAAAATCCAATTCTTCGAAAACCAGAAGGAAGACCGGCCTGAGCGTAATTTGTTCCTGAAGAACTTTATCTCGTTACCGCGGTCGTATTTCGTTCGGTATGCAGACAATCGGATGAACAACTAACGATTGCTAATGACCGTTTCGCGCGGTCATTAAGGAAAGTTCTCCCGGCGAGAGCTTAATATCAGCCATCGCTTCATTTCATAGGTAATCATCTTAATTTTCCGCTCGCCGAGCCCTGGAAACGAAGAGAAGCTCGTCTAATCCGTTTCCTGGTTTCACGAACTCTCCCAGCGGGGGATCGGTAGGCCTTGACTCTTGTCTCGCGATTAACGCTTCTGTACCTCTATCCCACTGGGATAACGATCGTTTTGATTCACTGTTCATCATCGACTGCACTACGAACTTAATTGTTCGTAGGTACGTCGTTCTAACGCGTTCCTTTTAAATTCATACGTCGCGCGAACTGTATATATTGTTGGGAGTTGTTGGCTGAAATTAGAAATTGATCGCGTACGATGTTAGTTCCAAATTTATTTCATCTCGCTTGCAATTGAAAAAAGTATGTCTCCACGAGAACAGTGTTATTAACCAGTGAAGCGATCCAAAGTGACAAATTTTTCATGATGTACAGCAACGAATAATTGAAAGAAAAGTTTTGTAGGATACAGCTCGGATCGAGAAGAGCGAACGTAACTGTTCTCTATCAGTCGAACATAAAAACATAAAAATAATGAGTAAAATTCTCGGATCGTCTCTGCGAAGTTGGCGCGATTCGTATCATTTTTTCGTATCTACGAGTGTCGTCTTCGCAGATCGAGGACAGAAATTCCCTATCGTTGATCCTACAATGATCGAAACCAACGGCGGATCCCTCTTTTCCCCGTTCAATTCTCGTATTTCACAGTTTGTGAATCGCGAGCCAGAGCATATACAAATCCCGCAGGATCGTCGGGTATCAGGAGAAGATTACGCGAAAGGAGATTACGTCAGGCGCGAAGTGTGTCTTCGGTATTGATTTTTTTTCTCGTTTCTCTTCTTATTTCCCTCCCTCCTTCCCTTCTTTTTTTCGTGAAATCACCGCGTGTAATAACGGCATTAAACCGATCTTCGTCAGCCGTGTGTCGCGTATACGATTATATCCGACGTCACGCGGCTATTGTGCCGCCATTAATCACAGCCGCGCGCACAAAAGGATCCACCATCCTCCGCAATCTCATTCTCGATACCTATTCTCCATCGATGCCACGGAAGGAGACGCGAGAGGCCGAACAAAAGCATCAGGCCTCTTCCGTGCATTTCTTCACGCTCTCGCCTACGAGATTTCATTTTCCACTGGCCTCTCCCTCCTTTCGATCGTTTGCACCTAAAGATCTTCTCCCCTTTTCTTTCTTTCTTTTTTTTTTTTTATTTTCTAATCTTCGTTCGTTGGGGCATCAACATTTTCAGCTTTGAATATATTTAAAAAAAAAAAATGTGTATATTTATCTTGGGAACAAATTTCTGTGTCATTAATCTCAATTACGTTGATACAAGTTCATTAATCTCAACAATTACGTTGATACAAGTATTAAAAGTTACCGTGTTCTTGCAATCGTTCAGTAGTAAAAAGAAATCAGATTTTGTAGACATTTTGCAGGCGTTCTGTTGCGGAAGTTTTATGTTTGGAATATTTTCTAAGAGCAGTGTTCAATCGTGGGGAGTAATTGTGAGTGAATTAAATAAAATACACTCTTTTAATTAATATGTTTAATATATATATATATATATATATATATATATATATATATATAAATTGAATAATGTATATAATAATTATCACTTAAATTCACTTTCTCACAGATCAATATTACTTTTAACTCAAACTCGCAATGAATACTCGTCTTCTCGCTTCTGAACAAAAACGCATCACGCAACACAATTGTCTCACAACACTTATGCCTTCGCTCGACACTCATGCATTCTCATACATACAGCATAAAACCAAATCCACAGTAACAAGCTCATTAATCGTGATCGAGATCTATTAATGAACGTGCTTGTTGTATCTAAAGGAATGTGAAATTACGAACTCTATTCTCGAAGCAAGACCCTTCGCTTACGATTAAAAATAATCCCTCGATCGTCTATAGTTATCATTATCTTAAAAATCCCCTTTTCCCTTATTTTATTAACAATCGACAAACACGTTCCTCATCGTTGGTTTTTCCCCCCTAATTGTAAGACCAGCTCTGTCCCTCTGTCCATCAGAGTAATAAACTCTAAGGGTCAATTCACTCATTTAAAAGTATTTTTCACTGTCAAAGACTCTCTTAAAAATTTATTTCTTCTCAAAATCTTTCCTCCTAATTGTAACACTAGCAGTCGATTATCGATTTCTACCCAGCCCAGTGTAATGGACTCCAAAGTTAATTCGCTTGTCTAAAAATACTTTTTGTCGTTGAAAAAAAATGAATCGATCCTCCCCACAAAATTAAAAGTCCGTTTCCAAAAAATCTCACTCTTTGTCTTTCTCTTCACGATCACGAGTTTCCTCGCCGTCATTTCCCTCTCTAATTGCAAGACTAAGCTCGCTAATATCGATCTCCTACCCCACTCCATCAGTGTAATGGACTCTAAGGGTTAATTCAGCCTGGCCGCGTGGGCGAGGCGAAGAAAGACAGCAGCGAAATGAAAGGGGGCGCTATTTTTTCTCTTCGCAGTTGAAGTTTAGTACGGGCGTAGCCGTTGAATTTCTTTTTCTCTCGACGCGACGCGGTCCCGTCTCGCTTTCGAAATCGCGAGAACGAGGAAGGGGAAAATAGATCCGAAGCTTGCGGATCCAGGATTTTTCCTCTGGCCTGGCGAGGGGAATGAAACGGAGAGAAAAAACGCCGCGAGAGAGGCATATTTCGACGCGAGACGTAGGTAGATAGGTAGGTCGAGGCGAGCAATAACAGTCATCGTACTTGGGCCGACACTCCTTAACGTTTCTCAATCCGGATGCATCGAGGATGATGAGGGGCGTCTCGCGTTTTTCCCTCAGCTTCCTTCTCTCTTACTCTCCGGGGACGGATTATTATTGTTCTCTAGCGGCCGTGTGTTGGCTCCGGTCTGTGAATGCTGTTCAGCATTATTCCCGGTCTTTTCGAACCGTCATTATTTAATGCGCGTTGCCCCGCGCCTCCCCCCCCCCCCTTTCCCGCGAGTAATTACAACAGCCGCACGAATTGACAATCGAGGATTTCTCGAGTCCTCCAGAGCCCCCTGTCGGCCGTTCGATTTAATTGTCCCGCGTCTTTCGTTCCTCGATTATTATTTATTATTATTCATCACGTTCAACGAACCGTGATTTAAAAAAAAAAAAAAAGAAAAAAACACACGAAAATATAGAGGAAGAGAAAATTCAACGAAACTGTGGGAGTTTTCGAATTGCAAAACTGCGTGTTACA